ATATTTACTGGCTACATTTTTCATATATCACAAGATTTCATGATCAAAACAAATAAAAAAAATCAAACATTTTAATCATTTGAAAAAAAATGTTTAATGTCAAGTAATAATTTTAACATTGTTGTATATCCACTTTTTATCCATGAGCAAAATTTTGCAGAAATCTATTTTTGGTAGATTTTATTTATTGCCTCATTCTGGTATTGGATTATCTATAAAGTTAAATGCAAATACTAATAGCCAACTATGGATAAACCTGTAAAAGAGTTTTTTTTATATATAGTTTATATGTAAAAATTAAACATATTTCTCCCGTTCAAAATTTTGAATTACCTGTACATATAGATAGTCAGATCACTCCCTTTAGTCCATAATGATTCAGATCCATATTTAAACCCTTATAAATATCTTTTAAAGTTTATAGATGGTTCAACTGAAGTTACTGCACAATCGGTAGTTAAAGATTTTATAAAGGCATAGATTACAAGAGTTGGACTTCCACTCCATATTGTAACAAGGGAAATCATTTTGAAAGTGTGTTGTTTTAAAACTAAAAAAAAAAAAATGTTAAATTTTTTTTCTATTGAAAACTGCTGCTTGACACTCACAGGGTAAAATGGTTTAATAGAAAAAGTACACAGAACAATTAAAATGGTAATTATAGTTTGCAAGGAATCATGGCTCTCAACATTAGCAATTGTATTCTTTACTATATGCAGTACATTGAATAAATTGGGCTTCTCTCTTTGTTGTGTAATGATTCCCTATTTGTTGACCAGTCCATCTGATGTAATGAAAGATGATATTCATTAATTAATAAGTTTACTAAGGATTTGTGTAAAACTATTTGGAGCTCAATTATTTTTCTAAAGGAAAGATTCACACTTTAAATAAACCTTACATGCCAAGTAAATTTATATCTTGTGATAAAGTATAGTTTAAGGTGTACAAAGTCCTACAGCCTTCAGCGAAACCTTTCTAGCTTGAAATGTAAGACTGAATCCTTACGCTGAAACATTTTGTAAATTAAAAGTATTTGTAATACCAACTGAGATGAGTATTTCTAGTTCTAGTAATTTTGATATAAGTGATCACAAAATTTCAAATAATGAAAAACCATCATCTTTAGGAAGACGAATACCTTGCTTACGGAAATTGCTCTGCAATTTGGGAAGGGTCTATTTTAGTAATATTATAAATTTAATAATTGAAATAGCATGTAAGGGTTTTAGAGGCATGTCAAAAAGCAATGTACAAAGAGGAGCTAAATCTGCAAAAATATAATAATAAAAAGAATAAGCAGGCTGCTAAAAATAAAATTAAAAGTAACTTTTAGAAATCTGCAGGCATATTAGAAAACTGATTTTGAGCCATGGAGAGAATCTAATCTTTGTTGATTTAATTCGAAAACCTTTTATGGTTATATCCCTTGAAAACAGATGAATACGAGACTTTGCAACAGGTTGTGATCAGTCAACTAAAATAAATTGCCAGCTAGTTTAAAAATCTGTGGCAAGTGATTTCCTTTCCTCAAAGAGATAAATGAGGCCAGCTACAGATCAAAAGACTCAACAAGTGAAATGCATGGCAACTTCTAAAAGACAGTAGACTTGTACTTCTTTTTCTCTTGCAAATTGTGGGTAATGGCATTTAAAATTTACCATTTTTCTTTGTTACATTAGGCACATGTTCATTTTTGCAAACATTTCAAATAATAAGACTGTTTATTGTGGAAAAATACATCCCAAAAAATTAACTTACACCTCTACATACAGAATTTATTTTAAAAATTAAATAAATTGTAGTTTTAAATGTTATCACAATTATTGAAAATAATGACTATGACAAATTATGAGCACGGCTATACAATAACATTTTGTAGCATAGTGGGGACTAAATTAACAAAATAACAAAACCTTATGACTTATTTGAATGAAATCTATGGCTGAAGCTTTGTAACCCAATTAATGAGGTACATGTTCAAAAGAGATGTAAATTTAAATCTTATCAGAGGCTTATGATATTTCTGATTGATGTTGCTTAAAGTAGAATAACAATTTGAGAGTAACAGAAAGATGAAAGAAACACCAATGAAACATTGATGATAATTCATTCATTCATTTTTTTTCTCTCTTTACAGTTGGTTCTTTCCAATTATTGGGCACATGGGTATTGCAACTTCATCAGGCATCATTAGAGATTTTGCAGGACCCTATTATGTATCAGTAAGTAGGAATGTTTTTATTTTATTTCCACAAAATTAGAAATGCTTCCCTTCACATGGAAATTGGGAAGAGAGACAGAACAAACAGTGACCTTTATTGAAAAAATTAGCTTCTCATATTTAGGGATTTTGTAAAGGTCATGTTAAATAGAGTTTTAATTTTGAAGGGAATGTTACCTTGAGTGACTGGTGGATGTATGTCAATACCAAGCAAGCATGTCATCAGCAAGTTTTGTTTCTCATCTACACAAGTTTTTATCATTTTATATTTATAATGGCTTCCAAGATTGTCAGTAATAATGATACTTCTGATGCCTAATCTCTATGTAAAAGCCAGTGTCCATTGCTTTGTAATGTACAAAACATGTCATACTATGTTTTTGTTCATCTATAGATGAGATATACTTTCTATATTTTGCTTAAATAACCCCAAAATATGTCCCAATGATATAATTTATGTGTTGTTGATCTCAACAACAGAACTACCAAGAACATTACAAATTGTGGCAATGATCATTCTTCTTCTTTTTCTTTTTATAATAAAAAATTGCATATTTATTTAAATATCTTTGAAGATTTAATTTTGTTTTTTAATTTCAGGAAAACAAAATTATAAAAAAAAAAAAAATTATTTTTACATACTTTAAGTTTTGAATTTTTTTTTTTTTTTTTAAATGCCAGTTTTCATCATCTGAAATGAAGTTGTAGCCCCTAAATTGTACTGCTTTCTGACCATTTTACAACCATTTATGGACTCATCAATGATAGGTTATTTCAGTATAATAATGCAGCGTGTCATCAGTCTCCCAGAAGAAAAGCATACTGGAGACACTTCTGACAAATAGTGAGGTCACCTCTACATTTTGCCCAACATGTGCCCATCATTATTATTGAGCATTTATGAGATGTGATAGTTCTATTTGCATGAATGACCCTCTGCACGCCCACAGATGTTAGGAAGTTGTGAACAGCTCTTGAGATGGTTCAACATCTCACCAGAAGTCTTCTAATGACATTGCCAGATTAAAAGGAGTTCTCTGTGATACTAGCTTAACCTACTTAACCTGTGACATCTGGTACAACAGTATATGAAGAAAGGTGAAAGAAACAAAAAGAATAGAAGGAGGAGAACTGTATTTCATTGAAGTATTATTTGCAATTTGATTAGAAAAGGCAATTTCAAAATTCTTCATATCACTGTCTTAATAATCAAATGTTTACTATTACAGCTTGTAAGTGGTTTTTATATTTCATCACCAGATTTCATCAAGTTTGAAAAGGATTTTGGATCACACTTCTTTTGTTAAAGTCTCCAGATCTTTTAAGCTAGAAGGCTTTCTCACTATTACTTGTCTTTGGTTTTATCTAAAAATTCTCAATTGGTTTACAGTCTGCATTGTGGTTTGGCCATTCTAAAACATTGACATTGTCCATGAACCAAAAACACGTATCAAAATTGCTCAAACTTTGATGTGTGTTTTTGAGTCATAGCAAGTTTTTCAGCACACTAATGTTTCTAAATTCTGAAGAAACTGATTTTTCTTTATGATCCCATCTACTTTAACCAGGTTACCAGTCCCATGCATTAGAAAACATCCCCATAGCATAATTGCTGCCATCAACAACATGCTTGAATTTTTGGACGCTTCACTCCTTTTTTCAACAAATAAGAGCAACACCCTTGTGCTAAGAAACTCAATTTTGGTTTCATCTGATCAAAGAATTAATGATGAAAAGCTTTTCAAGATGACACATCAAAAGTTCGATGAGCTTCTATATCTGACTTGGAGCATTGAAATCTGTTTTTCCATGAAGGCCAGCCTGGAGTGTCTGCCAATATATTTAGGTACCATTCAAATTGACCAAAATTCAATGATATTTAGATTGATCTTTTGATGTCTATCAGGACTTTTCTTGCCACATGAAATGATACTTTGCGTTTCTTACCTCATCTTTCAAGGTTTTTCATATAGAAATTTTATAATTTCTTGCTGTTTGAACTAGCAATTAAAATCACTTAGATGTCTTTGTAACTTTTCCCTTCATGATAGGCAGTCATAATCATTAACCTGAGGTCCTCACTTTGTTCTTTCATTGTAACTATAGTGACTGATTTGCTTCTGATGAGAAATAACACATTTTGCACATGCAACCATCTATTCAACTCCAGTCTTAAGGCACACAATACAGCGCTACCATACTGATCACGTTTACATTTGTTTTGAAGGAAGCAAAAAATTTTCTAATGTAAGGGAGAAAACTCATATTCATTTCTGTACAGTTGATTTCCATTCTGGCTCACGGTCATAATTACATTGCAACATCGGTTCCGAATAACGACTTGGAATGAGAAATTGGAGAACCAAGTTTGAATTTCGGTCGGGTTCGTTACATTACTTATGTGCAATTTACCTTTGGGAAATAATGATTCCACTTATTCTCCAAGCAGCTATGAGTTAAATAGTAGGATTTGTATCTGAAAATCATTATTCTTAAAAAAAAAAAAAAAGTTAATACTGTAATCACTCAGTACAAAAAAAAATAATTATTACAATCCAAAAATGTTTCAGCTTTAAATAACCTACAAAAGGTTGATAAGCCATAAAAAACAAATCGATCAGCAACACTGCAGCTTTATAATGATCTTGTAATCACTTATTCCCTGATTTTTTATGTAGACATCAAGTTTACAGTTCTTTTCTATAGAGTTACCAGTTGATCTTCCATTGTAAAGCCATATTTTTATACTAAGTACTTTATATACATGTGTGGATTACAGTCACATCATTTTGAAACACCTGTTCTCATAGGATCACTGAAGTTAAGCAACATCGAGCACAATCAGTGCATAGATGGGTGACCGCTTGGAAATACCGGGTGCTGTAAGCTTGGATGTTCAAGTGGTACTCGCTTACAATACATATCACATTGAAACACCGGTTCCCGTACGATCACAGAAGGTAAGCATTATAGATCCTGATCAGTGCCTAGATGGGTGACCGCTTGGATGTGCAAGTGGTGTAATTGATAATGGCTCAAGAGTTGTTAACCAGGGTGCCGAGTTCCAATTCTTGTTGAGTTTATGTTCACTTACATGCAAATACCCTTGGGAAAGGTATGAATCCATCTCTTCTCCCCCAGCTATGGGTTGATTAGTAATACTCATATCACTAAACCATTATCTTAAAAGAAAAAAACCTTACAATCTTAAAATATTTTCTCACTTTAAATAATCTGCAAAAAAACATGTGTGGAATTACATACTTTATTAGACTGGCAAAGTAATTTCTTTTGTATTGATTGAAGTCCGTCACAGGCAATGTTAGAACATAGGATAAATACCGTGAATATTATAGCCTCAAGTTTAGTCTGTCACAGAATCACAATAGTAGCACACTCGACCAGAATTACTAATTTGGGATGCTAATATGCTAACACTCATTTTATGACAGGTATATATAGCACGTTTTTACTTCAATCCTCATTGGGTTTTCAAAATCTTCTACCTCTTTATTTCCTTTTGTCTCTCTCTTTTCTTCTTCCCTACTTATGATCACTGCAGCATTATTTATTTTTAGCCGTTCTATTCCCCAATCGTTCTTTGTTTGATGGCATTTGTTTATGCTAATGGCAACACAATCAGTCAATATATTTTAGTATTCACTACTTAGTAATTGAGTATTTTCTTCTTTTCGCTCATAAACCAAATGAAGAAAGATGAAAATTGAATGGCCTTCTATGATAAATAATTATAAAAGCTTGTCACTAAAATTGGTTTAGGATTTATTATTTAGAGTAATTATCTATTCTTAAAGAAATTAAACATGTGATAGCATCAATGAAAATAGTTGACAAAATTAAATTGATTTTCTTTTCAGGAAGATGAGATGGCTTTTGGAAAACCCACAAAGTGAGTAAAATCAATTTGTTATTACTTGTTCTGAACTTTATATAGGCAAATGGGTTACATACTGACATGTAAAAAAAAGAAGTTGAGTCTCAAAATACCAAATTTAACTTGCTTTTTCATAAAATGGTTAAATTTGGAATTTTGCAATAAAATACAAAAACAAAAAAACTACAAGTTGGTGCAAAGTAGATATTTATGAATATAATATTATAGTTCTTGGCCTGCTTTCCAAAATTCAGGAATTGTTTTGAAACCATGACTTGGATGGGCCAAGAACTTTTCAGAACATTCACAATTCATTTTTTTTTTCACATCATTTGTTAATCTCTTGAAAGACTACAAACTGTACTTTACTCCTTGGTAGAATCACACATCAGTTATAAGTTTGTGTGCAGTATCAGCAAACTGTTTAAATATGGACAAAAGCCAGATTCCTATTATCTAAAACTAACTTCAATGTTCAAAATTACTCGGTCCCTGTAAAAAAAAAAAAAAAAAAAAAGGATTAACAGAAATAGTAAAAAACTTAAAAATTGTTCACAAACTGATGATTCTGTAATGTCGGTGAGCATAGACATTGTTAGATTTTCTTATGTAAGTCGATGTTTTCACAATAAAATTGGTATTAGTCAACTCATGGTAACATTTTCAGAATAGGTTACATGATAAATACACCACAAGAATTTTGGCTTCTCTTTTTATTGGAAATATTTACAATATCTTATTTGCTAATGTGAGATTTTGTTATGCAACGCGAGCTGGTCATTATATGTAATGTGTTGTGACATATATATATATATATATATATATATATATATATATCTAAAGAATTGATAACATTTGAAGTAATATATAACACTAGTTATTGATATTCATTTAATTTCAAATGAATAAAGATTTTCTCATGGGTTGGAAGAAAGATATAAGCTGAAAAGAGAAACAAGATATTGTAATTATTGATTGATGGAAACACAATATTGGAAAATGTGAAAAATGTTGAGCAAAAGATGAGAGAACAAGCAAAAGAAATAGAAAACTTTGTCAAGAACAAGAAAAAAACTGGCTTGAAGAATATGACAAAAAGAGATTTGAGAAAGGTTAAATGTGTAATAAAGCCAGAAAAATTGATTGATCAACAAGAAAAAAAGTTGGTGTTGTAAATAGAGAGAAAAATATGGAGAATAAGAACAATGTTAAAGGCATGAAAGCAGCAAAACTATATCACGTTTAAGTAAACATCATGAAGTGAAACATCTCGGATAAATATGTACTATATTTGACAGCATATAAGACACACCCCAATTTCAGCAAGGCAAAATCAAGAAATTAGTAAACCTATATATGGCATATAAGACACGGGAATTTTAAAAGATTTTTAGTAAAAAAAAGTATGCCTTGTATGCCGTCAAATACAGTAAATAAAATCTGATGTCTCAAATGTCATTTTTATAATGTCTTTGGCTTGTATTGTATGCAGTGAAATTATGGATCTTTTCAATGTTGATGATGGTATCAGGATAAATGCAGAGAATCATTGTTCTCCTTCACATTCTGCAAAGCTGAATATTGCCAACCTTACCAAAAAAAGAATAAATAAAATTAATCCAATGGCCTCCAGCCTTTCCAGATACTAATCCAATAGGCAACTTATAATCCATAATTAAAGAACTGTGAATGATAAGGGAAAACCATATTCAAGCCGTCCTGGATAAGACAATAAACTACGTCCAACAGCAAGGCCTCTGATCAGGGGGTTTTGAGGAATGTGAAACCACCTCTTAATTGCTGGTGTTCCCAGGCCCACCCTGACCCGGAGTGGTTAGGGTCCCAGCTATGGGCAAATAGTTAACCCACAAACTGGGGTCAAAATACTATGAAAGTGTAAAAATAGATTTTAATACCAGAAATATATGACTGACGAGGCAGATTTTTTTCTCGCAGTAGGTAGCCATTTCTTTCTGTGGTAGACCAGTTGCCAGCCAAGGCTATAGAACCTTGTCTGTCCTACTATTTACCCATAGCTGAGGGGAGAAGAGGAGGATTCATACCTTTCCCAAGAGTATTAGCATGTAAGTCAGTGGATCTGACTGGAATTTTAAATCTGCTCTCAGATTTCTCAACCTGAGCTGCTATCCATTACTCCACTATGCCAGCAATACATTAAAAAAAAATATATTACCAGCAATAAAAATTTTGTCAGCATTAAATAATCCATTGAAGTTGACATGCTGTAAAACAAATAAAGACATTTTTATGTTTAACGTTGTTTTTTATAGATACAAGTATATAAGTAAATGCTCTGTTTATGATAAACAGTATTAAATAACATTTACTGGCCTGAATGTCCGAGAAATTTTCATAGAAAATATTCATTCTTTGACATGATTCGAACCTGCATCCTATAAATAAATTGTCGGACCTTGTCCATTTCTTAATATATGACGTCATTTGTTTACATTTGATACGCCAGAGCAGTTATGAATGTACGAGTTTCATGGAAGATTGAAGTTTATAAGCAGTAAATTCGACCTTGTCTACGAACGATTCTTTTGTAGCCGAACAGTAAGGCACATCAGCGTAAATGACGGTTCCGTATAGGATGCAGGTTCGAATCCTGTCAAAGAACGAATATTTTCTATGAAAATTTCTCGGACATTCAGGCCGGTAAATGTTATTTAATACTGTTTATCATAAACAGAGCATTTACTTAAATACTTGTATCTATAAAAAACAACGTTAAACATAAAAATGTCTTTAATAAATAAATTGTCGGACCTTGTCCATTTCTTAATATAAATCTATTAAAGTTGATATGCTGTAAAACAAACCAAACCATATTTAAGCAAAGACGATTTCTGGGAAGCAAGAATCTTAAAGTTGAAACGGTAGAAAATTTATTAGTATCAATGAATGAAAGATTGAAGATCATAGAATGTTAACATATAAAATAAAAAGAAAATAAGAATTTATTTCAGGATATTTTATTAATCAAATCTGTTTTTCTGGCTTATATCTTTTGGCATTATCTAAAAATTAATGTTGCACTGTTTACATCATAAAACCTGATAACTTAAAAATAAAACAAAAATGGTTATTATCAATATTGTCTAATAAGGATAAACACCAAAAGCTGAAACTCATATAAATTTATTCCTCATATAAATATATCCTTAACATATTATTTAGTTAATACCAAATCTTTTGTGAAAAATTTGAGTTGCATAATTGAATCTGATAGTGTAATTGTTGCTATAATAATGGGGACTAACATCATTGAAATCATTGACCTATTTCAATATCAGTCATTTTTAAATAGGTACCTCCATTAATTTGCTAAAAAAAACAGCATAGCATGATGAAAAAAGAACCCAAAATTAATAAAAACAAAGTTTTTTTTGTCAAAATGTTTGTTATTAATAAGAGGAAAGACCAAAATATTTGTATTATTTTAGTAAATTTTTTAATCCTTTCTAGCACATTCAAAATTTTGTTTAAAAATGTTTTTGTTTTTTTTTGTCAGCAGTCTTTTTTCGCCAGTTTTTTTCTAAGAAACACATTAACTTGGAATTTCTTGCAAAAATCTAATAATTATTGGATTTTAATGAAACTTTCAGAACTTATTCACAAAGGAACAAAATTATTTATGCAATTTTCTTTTTTAAATTCTTGGTAATTTTTTTTTTTTTTCTTTTTCAAACTGCTACTCAGTTCCCAAAAATTTCCAAATTTCTAGATTTATTCAGAAAACTACTGTCTCAAAAAAATTTTTTTGATGAATAATACATTTTTACAAGAATTGTTTCATTTTTTAAAAATTTTAATTATAATAATTTACATATAATTCTTTTAAAATTCTACATTACTTTAATTGCATTAGGTGATATTATTAAGTAAAAACTATATTAATCAAATATTGAAAAGCTTGATACAAATCATCATGCACCAAAATTTTTTTTTTTTATGCATATAAAATATTATGTAACATGCCCATTTTTTAAAGTATGTTTGACCATACACAACATTATCAGAAAATAAGAGCGATGACTATAGTAAATTTAAAGTCAACATCCCTAAAATTAGATATGGAGAATATTTTCCAACATTTTTAAGGTT